TGGACTTCGTTGTGTTTTGAATAACTTTCGATAGGAATGAGATAGAGATCTCCGACTCTGTTGCGACTCATGTTGCTAAGACCTTAAGATATGTTTTTGTAAGCAGAAACGTGTTTCAAAATTTTCTAGAAGTCCAATTTTTTCAGGCCACTTTGGAAAACCAGTTCCGTTCTCAGAAAACTAGCATACAGTGTTAGTAATTTTTTTAGATGCGCGGGTAGTCCATTTGTTACTCTACAAAATTATGCAAGTCCCAGCTCTCCAGCTATCGTCGTTCGGAGAGGGTTCGCTTTCCCCGAGCAGGTGTCTGTCTCCGAGGAGACATTCCTGGGAATCTCGAAATGCCATGGACTATAGGTAATCGACTACACTGAGCATGGTGGAAACATTTGTTTTTGTGAACAAATGAATTTAACTTCGCCTGAGGCAGTTTTGTGAAAAACCGGTTTTTCGCCTGTTAACAGCAAATATTAAAATCATTATGTCTCGGTCAAATCTCATGCTGACTCAAGGAACCTTTCAGGAAAGACTTAAAAGGTACCATATATTGTTGATCAAGCCGAAAGATTGTCCAGCAAAACACTGAGGCTTGGGGGGTTTTCAGAGGGGTTCTGGAAAACCTTCAACCAATGCCTAGCTGAAATTCGTCTTTTTCGCCTTCAATTATGACTTATGAGTTGTCCTGAGCGTTTCCGTGAGTCAGCATGAGATTTGACCGAGATATACAGATTTTATATTTGCTGATAACAGGCGAAAAACCTGTTTTTCACAAAAATACCTCTGGCGAAGTTATATTCATTTGTACACAAAAACAAATGTTGCCACTATGCTCAGTGTACTCGAAGAAAAAAAATAGAATTTCCGATATATTATGAGTTTGGAAATCTCCAGTTTTCGAGTAAACTTACTTCTTGTACTTAAGGAATGTTTTTACTAACCCAGTCAAAGGAAGATATTTTTAAACACATAAGCGTCTAATTGAGTTAATATCTTCCCAAAACTTTAGGTTTTCGTTTTCTGACGCATTGTATCTTTTGTACCAAAGGAATTAATGTTAATATCATGATTTCAGCGATTCTTTTAGGAAATATTCAAATGATGAGCATTGGCGAATCAGTTCGAAAAATTTCTTATGATGAATTTTCAAGTGATGTTCGTACTGCTATAACATATGCAGTAAAATATCTCACACAAGATGATTTTGGTTTTATTATTCAAAAGGGAACAGCTGCAAGTGCTATTGCATTAATGGACTATTTTATAGCGCAGAAAGAAGCTTTATGTGGTTACTCAATCGTAGCGGATCGTGAAGGGATTAGGGAATGTGTTATGGGTTCTCATCAGCAAAATGAGATGGATTATCATGCCGAAAAAGATGGATTAATCGGTGCCATGTCT